ACAGGTCTACAAGGAGAAAATAGAGCCCGTGTTGCTAAGGTGTCGGAGTCGCTCAAGAAAGCTGAAGCCAGGGTGGCCCAGTATGATTGAGCGCGTGCCGAAGACTAAGGCGGAGTAAACGCTGTTTGTATCACTGGTATCGCCGGTTAGTTATATCTATTCATACTGTATAACGCCATTTTCTTGTATGTGTCGTGTTAGACGTTTAGTTCAATTTACGGTATGCTAATTGCGGTTATTGAGGATACCGCATGTATAGTTTGAGTGGAAGCTCACAGGTGGATTCCTTTTACAGTAGTGGCAGCATAGGAAGGATGCGGTTCGAAGTTTCGCAGTAGCAATTTACTTGCTTGTCTGTGGCCGCTATTCTTAGAGGACATGGGCAGCATGTTTTAGTCGGTGTTGGAGTAGGAATATATGTTTGCTTTCTTCAGCTGAGCTCAGGAGTTTCCTCGCTAATTATAAAAGTTTATATACGATGCGAGAATTGACTGGATTTCGATGGGTGTGGATAGTTTGATCAATATTTTGGGAAATTCTGACTCACGAGATGGTGATTTTCGATACTAGATGTTTTTTGAGTGAAATTTTCAATCAACGTAGTTTTGTCTTTCACTTAGTTGCTTATACAGGGTGACCGAAAAATGGGTTCGCCGCTCGAAATTGATCTCTTAGCGCATGTGAAATTCAAATGATGAATATCAGAAAAACTCAGGTAAAATTTGACCACCTTGTATTATAGGGAATACGAATGAGAGCAGTGTGAGAAAATATGCATATGGTCAACTACATGTGTTGGCGAAAAGTGTCGTGCGTCTGTGCCTGTTGCTACGCGACGTGGCTGTTTGGCAGATCGAGGGAGTATTTAGTGGGAAATGTGTGTGTTATTTTCCGAGATTAATAAGAATCGATCTGAAACTATATCGCATAAACAATGTAAACATTGCTATGAACATGTGATGCGATAAAAGTAACCTTTCGAGACTATGATAGCGACAAGTTGTTCACTATCATTAATCCCGGAATAGAAAACACACATATCAACTTGGCACTCAGCACTGTATACTTGGATAAATAAGACTGTCACTTAAGTCCCCAATATCAGAGAGGGTGAAAACGAGGAATAGCTGAGCTGTCAAAAACGGCGACCACCCTTGTAGAACGTTCGAGGTTAATACAGAGACAACCATAGCCGTCGTTATTATATAGGCAACATTTACAGGTAGTTTTACCATTGGAGTTTCAGCCGTGATATGGAAAACACTGATGGAAACATATTTTCACTTGCTGTTCGTTCCGGCAGTGTTTCGGGCTAACTGAAGAACGCAACAATGAGCTCATGAAATGGCTAGCATATCGGCATCAAGTCTAACCAAGCCGGTGACGGCGTTGGACCTTAAACTGACACACACACACACACACACACACACACACGATTCACTTAAAACAATGGTGTTATCGATCGCGGTCCTGTAGTTTACATGGAGCATTACGTCACTTCACGTTAAACGGGTGAAACTCCAATGACCTTCTCGGCTCGTTTTCCTTGACTGTCGACGAGATCTTAAGAAGGTGATGATGACTCGGAAGGTGACGTTGCGGTATTTCTGCGTGAAGAACGAGAGATCAATGGCAAGAAAATCGGATGAATTTTTCGATCTGATGAAAAATTTCATAAGTTGGAAATTACGCCGCAATGGATTGGAATTAAGAATTCAAATGGAGCATCATTGCGTGCTGTGTTTTGGGTAGTCCGAGTGAGTGGCCCTTGAGCCACTTAAGCAACCCGTGCATGCCGAGAACGGCATTTTCAAGCCTCAGGAAAGTTCCCATTAATAAATGGTAATTGGATGTAATCGATCCAACACCACCCACCACAACACAAACCATTCGCTCGTTAGCGACCTTCATTTACTCTATGGAACAATTCGTCGTCAATAGTAGAGGAGACGATGAAATAAACACCATATCCGATCTGGGAAGCGATACCCCACACAGGAGCTACCATTCCCGTCCGTGCTACGAGAAATGTACGTCACTATGACTGATGATGTCGCAACGAATTATTACACTAGACAGAAGCCTCAGGGGAATGTTCTCCAACAACGATTCATCCAGACAGTCACTAATTCAACGGAATAGGGGCGGGGAGAGCAACGAGACGAACCCGTCAAATGAACAACAGCAGCAGGTAGCCGTTATTAATACACTGGAGTTTCACAACCAGTTTTACGTAAAGTGGCGTAAAACTCGGTGAAAAACTCGATATTCGCGGTGAAATGCAGAAGTCGTGAAATATGTTTTTCACTAGTGTTTTTCATATCACTAGGGTGAGACTCCGCTGTTGGAGTTGACTTAGTTCCGTGTGGGGTTGAGGAATGCTAGTACTCAACGAGAGCCGGTGGCACGTCACGAATTGGTAAAATGATCATCTAGCGAGCCGAATACCACATAACGAAATCAGAACCGATTTAAAACGATGGGATCGGTACATCTTGTTTATCTACATTATGGTCCTGCATGTCGATTGTTGTATACACAGCTATGCTGCAAACGGCATCGTTTTCGACTTGGAGTGGTAACGAACAATCACCTGAACGACGCTGGTCAAGAATGGGGGATCCCGGCTAAGAACTACTTTCAACGTTTTTTCCTGTGGGAATACTCTAGCTATTACGCGCACTGATCAGGGAGCTTCTGCAGCTATACAAGTTGCGTAGCAATTTCATGTACGTTTGTGTAGCGTAGCATAGGTACTGCATAATTCAATGCTCATTCTAACCACCGTGTTTACATACATACGGAGTTCCACACTAACATAGGAGATGATGGGCGATTACCGCGGTGTTGTCATAACTACGTTCTGGCTTGTCTTCTCCCAAGCCCCGATCAGATTTGTGGTAATATGCGATGATTGATCTCGATGGGTTCTCAACATTGACTCAAGGAGAGATACCATGAAGAAAACGCTGGGTCGCAACAATGGAGTTTCCCCCGTTTTACGTTAATAGAAAGCACACATATCAAATTGGCACTCAACACTGTATTACATTTGACAGTTTCTGCGGCTACTTTACGTCGTATGATCGTTTCGACCAGCCGTAAGCAGGCATATATGATACGATCAGTCATTCTCTCAACTTTGGCACTCAGCCCGCTCTGAGATTCACTCATGATAACTTATCATTGATAAGCGGGAGCATCGCAATTGGAGATCAATCGATCATTAGGGCGCACGCTAAATTCAAGCCGCGTCGATCGGGTGATCGATAGCCTGCTCGGAGCCTCGCGAAAGGCCGTCCTCACGCCGCAGCAGCCATGGGAATCAAATCCTACCGGAACTGTAAGTAGGGGGTGAACTGAGTTGGTCGTGTAGGATTTGGTGGAGGAGCGGTATGACTTATTACCTATTTTTGTCAGACTCGAAGACTGCCAACACTCCTCGACGCCCCTTCGAGAAGGCTCGTATAGACTCTGAGCTTCAGATCGTCGGCGAGTACGGCTTGAAGAACAAGCGTGAGCTCTGGCGTGTCCAGTACACTCTTTCCAAGATTCGTGCCGCTGCTAGGTGAAATCACCATAAATTGAATTGGTGATTTTTACGTGTTTTTTCTCAGACACTTGTTGACCCTGGATGAAAACGACGAGACCCGCGTTTTCCAAGGCGAAGCTTTGCTACGTCGTTTGGTGCGTTTGGGTCTTCTTGGTGAGGATGAGCGCAAACTCGATTACGTGTTGGCTTTGACTGTCAACAAGATGCTCGAGAGGCGTCTACAGACTAAGGTCTTCAAGCTCGGCCTCGCCAAGAGCGTTCATCATGCCCGTGTTCTTATCAAGCAAAGACACATCAGGTGAGATTGCAGTAATGATATCCAATTTATTTGTATAGAGAATTAATACATTATATTCATAATGTGATTCTGTTGAGATCTTCTTTACTTGTGTTTTTTCTCTCAGAGTCGGCAAGCAGATCTGCGATGTTCCCTCGTTCATGGTCCGCCTTGATTCCGAGAAGCACGTTGATTTCGCTCTCACCTCGCCATTCGGTGGCGGACGCCCTGGCCGTGTAAAGAGGCGTAACGCTGCTAATGCTGGTGGTGACGATGATGAGGAGTAAACAGTGTTGTTGCTTGTTGTCGCTCGGTAGGGTCGTGATGTAGTTTCCCGGCTGAAAGAATGAGTGTTGAGTTATTCTAGTAGTTGTGTGTGTCGGAAGATGCTTTTGGTGGTTCTGGTTTGCCTTGTAATCATTACATCTTGGAAAATCTATGTCGATGATATATTTATGTGATTGCTGCATATACAGTGTTGAGTGCCAAGTTGATATGTGTGTTTTCTATTCCGGGATTAATGATAGTGAACAACTTGTCGCTATCATAGTCTCGAAAGGTTACTTTTATCACATCACATGTTCATAGCAATGTTTACGATTCTTATTAATGTCGTAAAATAACACTACTGTCAAGTTGACACATACTATATACAATCCTTGGACTTATCGTATTGACCAACACCTTGGTTCGTGCTGCCCTGTAAAAATTGTCAGGAAATTTCTCAAGAATCGGCCTGTCACTGGGGGGGGTCGATCAATAAACCGATTTCGGACTTAGAGTTGCTTATTACACGTATAATCGATTCTGAGTTCTACATTGATTTAACGACATGGGGTTGGTATTATCTCTTGAGTGGCGATGAGGA